AGAGGTCTCTGGTCCTCCACCTCTCTCTTCCAGTCAGACTGGCACCACCAGTTTCTCTCTGGGGTTTGGGGCTGGATTCTTCCCCAATCCTCCCTGGAGATCCTCTGTGTTCCCTCCTGGTCTCCCATCCATGTCCTGACCAGACCAGACCCAGCTTAGCGTCCAAAACCAGGAAAGAGAAGTCAGTTTCAGGGCCCTGGGAAGGCTAGCCCAAAAGTGACCACATTGGAGCACTCCGGCGACAGAAGCAGCCGAAGCCCCTTTCCAAACAAGATGCTTCTCCCAGTCAAGCTGGATTCATGACGTGGGAGCTGCCAGGGCAAGCGGCGTCTGGACGAAGGCCAACGCGGGGCCGTTTCGCCTTTGGAAGTGTCAAAAACAGGCCGTCAATGTCAGATGGGTGAGGAGGAAGAGGGACAGACGAGGATGGGTTTCATGAGGCCGGGCAATGGCTCTCTGCGGGATTTAGGAGAATTCACTGACCATTCAAGGGCCGAAAGAAACAGGGCAGGCTGCCAAAAGCTGGGTCAGAAAAGGAGAGGGGGACAGATCATGCCACAACCCTGCCTGATCCGTGTCTCGGTACAGCCATCTCTTACATGCCCAGTCCTGAACATTCTTCAAATGCCCGCACCTGACTGATGATATTTTACGTTTCAAGTGTATTGCTTATTTGTATTTTATTATTTCTATTTTTGGGATATTCATATGCTGTAAACGACCCAGAGTGGCTTCGGCCAGACAGGCGGTGTAAAAATGAAATAAAAACATAAATAAATAAATGAAAACAGGGGATGGGCTTGGCCCTGTAATGCTCCCAAGTATTTGGGTGGGATCTCCCCAAAGGTCCAGCCAGTTCCCAGTCTTGCTGGTTTTAGGACAGTAGGAAGATGCCTCTTTTCAAGCTGGCCTTTTAAACGGTTTTACTGAATCTAGCATTGATGCTGCTAGTGAGTCACTTGAGGGCTTTATTGTCTAATTTGTTTTCATTCAGTGTTTAATTTACTTCATTGGACTTTTAATTATTTTACTTTGCTTTCAATTATGTTTGCCAGCTACCTCGAGTGCTATCATTTTTGAAGTGGAATGATGGAATATTTTTGTTGTTGTTTAGTCGTTAAGTCCTGTGACCCCACGGACCAGAGCACGCCAGGCCCTCCTGTCTTCCACTGCCTCCCGGAGTTGGGTCAAATTCATGTTGGTTGCTTCGATGACACTGTCCAGCCATCTTGTCCTCTGTCGTCCCCTCCTCCTCTTGCCCTCACACTTTCCCAACATCAGGGTCTTTTCCAGGGAGTCTTCTCTTCTCGTGAGATGGCCAAAGTATGGGAGCCTCAGCTTCAGGATCTGTCCTTCCAGGGAGCACTCAGGGTTGATTTCCTTCAGAATGGATAGGTTTGTTCTCCTTGCAGTCCAGGGGACTCTCAAGAGCCTCCTCCAGCACCACAATTCAAAAGCGTCAATTCTTCGGCAGTCCCTCCCACTGGAGGCCAGCCTGGCCTCACCTTTGCTCACCTTCTGCCAGCAGGCAAATACGTTCCTCTTCAGGCAGGCTTGTCCTTAATGATTGGTGATATGAGAGGGGTTTTTTAACGGATTGCTGTTTTGCTGTTGCTTTTGGTTATCATTTCTTAGAGTGGTTAGAGGGAGCACTGCTCCTGGGCACTTTGATGGCACTATAAAATCACCTTCATCCTGAACAGCTGCGGCGTCAAAGCCTCGGTTTCCCATCTGTCCTGATTCCAGCCATTGTTTCCCACACTGTGCTGTTCTGCCTTTCTCTCTGTTTCTGCCACAGGAGCTGAATGACTCAGGGAAAGAAGGATATATTTTGTAAAAAAAAAAATAATCAAAAATCAGCCTCCCAATATTTTGCTTGTCAGTGCGAAGAATTGGTCTCCCTCCAGATGTTTAATAAACTGCCTCTTGATTAATCAACATGACCTTAATATTTTTCCCTAACTAAGCCCCAGGAAGAGACTTGCTTTCGGCAGGGAAAAAAATGCTGCTAATTGCGCTAATGCGATTGATTAAGAAACTGGCCCCAGGTCAAAGATGGTAATTAGTACAGGGGACATCGGTGGCCAACAGCCTCGTGGGGAGAAGCGAGGGGTGGGGAATAATTTACCAAGGAAGCAAAGTATAATGTCAGGGCCGTGGAATTCTAGTTTTGTCTGGGAAAAAATGAACAAGTTCCAGGGATGTGAGAAGAAAGAATTGGTGGAGGAGGTATAGAAATTGTTATTTTGCAGCCTTAAGGCCCGGAAAGAGAGGTCTCTGCCCTCAACTGGCTTGCAAACCTCAAGCTCAAGGACTGGTAAGAGTTGTCTACCTTGCCCTCCTGTGACCCAAGAGGAAGGGCCCTCAGGCATCAGCCACCACTCTTTGAATCCAGAGTGGGGAGCATGTGGACCCTCAGGTGATTCTGGATCACAATGACCATCCTCCTTCACCAGCCCAGCCCATGAGTGGCAAAACATGATGGGATCTGTAGTAATCTAACATCACCCAGAGGGACCACAGTTCCCCCACCTTTGTTGGCATGGAGGCAAAGACTCCTCGTACCCAGTTCACTCTCCAAATGAGGGATGAACCTTTAACTCAGATCCTTCCAACTTGAGCTGGAACCCAAAATCAAGCAATGGTGGTCAATCCGTGATATGCATTCCTTTGTCCGAGAAACCATCTTGGGGAACTGTTCCTTCCAAATTTGGAAGGACGGGAGGCCAGTGTCCTCTCCTTGCCATGCCAGCTGCTGTCTGTGTGTTTCAGTAAAAACTATTCACTTGACGAAATATTCACTGTTTCTGTAAAAAGCTGGTGCTTAGATAAAATGTTAGGGGGAAGGGACATCTTTTCAGCTGATCAAAGCAGAACTTCTGAGAGCAGCCGGTCACCTTGCCGGCAAGAGGATGCTACAGTCCAGAAGAAGACCTTTTCCCAAGCTCTCTGCCTCCTGCTAGCCATAAACCCTCTGAAGTTCTAGTTTTACAAACAGCCATCCCCTCTGAAACACAGAGGACAGACCGAAGGATCTTCTTCCACAACACCTACGTTTCTAGTCCTCACTGCCAAAAGCTGGCACACGCAACACCGGGCACATTCACAGCCCCACCAGTTGGGGAAGCCAAGCAATTGAGTTCTCGGGCCCCAAAACCTTTGTTTTCTAAACTTTCCTCTTTTTAAAAACTTTCTCCCTTATGATCCAGCTGCGGCAAAACAATAGCGGGAAACCCCTCCCGGGGTTTGAGAAAGTTCTGGGCTCATTTCCCCAAAGCCGATCATTAATAGAATTCATTCCTCATGCACAGATTTTGGCTTTTTTTTCCTGAAACAAGAGGGGGACTGACACAGGGAGGGAGCGAATCTCAAAGGAAGAGGGGGACTAAATATCAAGATGTCCTCTTCTCAGTGCTGGAATCTGGGCAGAGGGCGGGCGGGTGGTGAGGAGAGACGGACAGGCCCTCTGCCCCTCTTCCCAAACAATAGGCAGATGTTTATCCCTATTTCATGGAACACTCGTTATTGGGCTGATAATTACCCTGCGGGTAATGATAGTAATCAGAAATTGCTGCAAGCCTGTATTCTTCCAAGGCAGTTAATTTATTTAATTACACACTTTGAAGCTGCATTATTTAAATGGTGATTTATTGCAATGCTAATCAATGCTATTTTATCTGGGCTAGTGTTCCTGTGTGTGTATTGTGTGTGTGTGTGTGCTGTTGCATGTGTAAGTGCTGGAATGGCTTTTTTCGGAGGGTTTGTTGTGAAAGGGGGGTCAGAGGCAGGAAGAGATTTAGCAAAATGGGAGTCAAGAGTGCAGGGAAGAGTTTTCAGAGGGACCGGTTGTCCTTGGCTCGTGGCGTCCTTCTGAGCAAGCCAAGAAGGGTCCGGGTGTCCAAGGATGAGAAAGAGAGATAAGGCAAGATGGGGGAAAGCCAGGGGTTGGTTAGCCCCATAAAAGAGACGTGGAAACTTGCACCACGTGTAGTTTTGGCCCCAGACCCTCCCCTGGCCCCACCATGGGAAATTATCATATTATAAATCACACTCCCCTCTTGGCACAGGCAGACCTGGCTGCCCTCTCCAAACATCCCAGGGATCATCGTAGAGAAAATGGAGTGGACATCTCAGCCTCTACAGCTTCAGGGAGTTGGACTAGGACGTCACGAGCGGGACGGGCAGATTTGGGATGAAAGTTAGAAGCAACGGACCCAAACGTCTTGCCCCCATCTCTGCCCCTTTGTACCCGACTGGGTCACGGCAGGGTTGGAAGGCAGCAAGGTGGTTCTGTTGAGCCTTGAGAACAGATGACCCAGAGGTGGCCCTGGTGGCCATCTTCAGAGAGAGAGAGAGAGAGAGAGGATGGGCTGCCTCAGGGAAGATGGAACAAGTCTGACTTTGGCTGAGCCCGGAGGGCCCGAAGCGATAGAATCAAATTCTGAGCTTTGAGTTAAGCATCAGGAAGGGCTTCCTAAGGGGCAAGACTCTTACGGTGGTGAGACCTCGTTCTTTGGGAGATTTCCTAGCATAAATTGGGTGGCAGTCTCTCAGGAATGCTTTTGTGCTAGATTTCAGGGAGTTAAACTAGATGACCTTTGGGAAATTTCAAGTCCAAGAACAATCACTGCAAGCTTTCAGGTCAGTTCTGACTTTTGATGACCCTTCCGAGGGTTTTCCAGGTACAGAATACTCAGAAGTGGTTTCCCATCCCGTTCTTCTGGAAGCACCGTGGGACCACGTAGCTTGCCCAAGGCTACCCAGGCTGGCTCTTCTCCTTAGAGGTGTAGTGGGGAATCCAAGTGCCGAACTGCTGGATAGCTCAAGGATTTCTGTCTCTGGCTGCAGAACCAGAGGAGGAGGAGGAAGATAAACCTCTAGCCCCAGAGCCAGAGACCAGACCCACGGAGCGATCCAGCCAGTTACATCCCAACTCAACCATTCTATCATTGCACGACCACACAACCCTAAAAGGGACGTTCCCACCAAGCGGCACCTACCTTTGCCCATAGGGGCAGGTCCTTCTGCTCTCAAGCTCCACGGAGGATCGCCATGGTTGGCAAAGTCTCGCATCTTGAGGTAGCTGATGGTGAGCCGGACGATGGAGGCTTTGTCGAGCTGGCTGGTGATGGCGCCCGGCAGGGGCAACATCTTCGCCAGCTCGTAGAATTCAAAGTTCTCTTTGCCCCGACGGGAGCGGGCCGCGTTGCGGGATTTCTCCTTCCGCAGGGCCTGCAAGCTGAAGAGGAAAACAGGAGAGGTGATGCCCGCAAGGAGTGGGAGGCCAGCTTCCCACTTGGGCACCCCAAAAGCTGCCACTGAGAAGCATCGCGCAGCCCGTTGCGGAGGCAAGACACAGCCACAGTGACAAAATACGACCCAGAGTTTCTGTGGCACCTTAAAAAAGCTCGCCAAGGTTCATTCATCAGGTATTTTCACAGAACTATAGTACACTTGACTCTAAGCAGCGGTTCGTAACCATGGGTCCCTCCCCCTCCAGGTGTTCTTGGACTGCAACTCCCAGAAACCCCGGTCAAGCCCAGCTGGTGGTGAAGGCTTCTGGGAACTGCAGTCCAAGGACACCAGGAGACTGGGAACTGCAGTCCAAGGACACCTGGGTGACCCCAGGTGGGGAACCATGAGGAACAGGCTGCAACCTGTGAAGGCTTACACTTGTGCCATCTGACCCTCCAACCTCTCCACAGGCTGACAATGACTGGCCCAGAATCGCCATCTTACCAAGGGACCGGTTGATTCTTCACCAAGAGGCCTTGGAGGAAGTCCCACTCAACGCTGACACACTTCACTTCGCTGCTGTACAGAGCTGCCATCTTGATGCGGGAACCATCCGATGCAGAGGCGACCTCAGACCACCGTCCCCTTTAGAAAAGGCCGCCGTCTGGGGAAGGAGAGAGGCAAAGGGTTAAGGGCTCGCCTCTTCTTTTTGCTGCCTGTTCTTCAAACCATTCTTCGTTGGTTCCTCCCAGGCACAGAACTGAGCATTTATACTTCTTAAAACCGACTCCCCAGGAGTTGGCATATTTCTTTAGAGTCCGTCTGAACCAGGTGTCAGCTAAAGCTCTCCAGGTAAGACCACAGAATCATGGAGCGGGAAGGGGCCTCTAAGGCCATCTAGTCCAACCCCCCCTGCTCAAGGCAAGGATACAACTCCAAGGAGATCTGCCAGGGGGTGGTCCATTTTTCTCTTGAAGGCCTCCAGTGTTGGAGCGCTCATCACCTCCCAAAGTCATGGGTTCCATTGTCGTACTGCTCTAACAGTTAGGAATTATTCCTGAGATTCAGCTTCCTCTCAACAAAGAACAGTTAGGAATTATTCCTGAGATTCAGCCAAAATCTGGATTCCTCTCAACAAGGGAGCCCATGGTTGCGTGCCCTGCATTCTGGGATGATCGAGAACACATCCCTGCCCTTCCTCTGAATGGACAGCTTCCCAAGTCTTTGAAAAGCACTATCCTATCTCCCCTCAGTCTTCTTTCCTCAAGGAGCTTACAAACAGAGTAATGAAACCACAATCCAAAAGAGTAAACCACCCAATTTAGCAAGACACCGTGAAGCAATAAAATTAAAAAGCTTTCACAAATCCACCAGATTCTGTGACAGACCGGATCAAATGAAGAGGTCGCCCCCAGATAAAACATACACACGCACTCACACATATTTTGTGTGCTCATGGAAATGAGGAAAAAGGTATGGAGAACGAGCAACCTTAGAGGTAATTTACAAAGCGGGGCCACATACGTCTCAGAGAGAATACGGGAGCCATGCTGTAAGGACATGGCTTGTCTGAGCCCACCACGGGCCCCTTTGGCTTAATTCTGATGCCTCTTGAGCTTCCGATGAAGAGGGAGCATCTCCTCTCCCTCCCCTAAACCCATCATCCTTTCCAGTCACTCTGACAAGCTGTTCATTCCCTCGCCTTTCACCCACATTTCTCTCCAGACAGTCCCGGCCTTTGCACAGCAACCATGGAGAGCGGCCACGCAGAGACAGAAGCCGGTGTTCAGAGTATGAAATCCCAGGATCCCCGTGTTGCAAGGTGTGGAAAAGCAAAACCGTCGCATCTCCCTAATCCTGGGGCCACTGCAGCACTCAGTTTCACCAGTCCTAAGGGGAAAACACTCTAACCACTAAGCAACACTTTCCCCCATACACACACACACACACTTTCTCTCTCTTTCTCTTTTTTTAATCTCTCTACAGCCAGGCTCACATGTCAGGAATATCTGCACAGCCAGATCCTTGCTAAGTTGAAAGAAACTAGAAGTATTTATCAATTTAGCAATTTATTCCGTTTTTATCCTATCTGTAAAATACAGGAAAACATTTAAAAATTCAAAACACATACGCGCACGCAAAATTAAAACCACAGGCGTTAAGAAAAAACAAAGCAATATTCCGGTTCGACATTCCGCCTGCCACAAAGCGACACCAGTTGCCAAAGGCACTGTTTGTTATTCCAGGAGGCGAACAAGGGGGGGGGGAGCGGTCTGTCCTCCCTCGGCAGGGAGTTCCACAGACTAGGAGAAACCACGGATAAAGCTCTGGATGAGAAGCCACGTGATCAACTAGCACTCAGTTTAATAAGCTTAATAAGAGTTCTCCCACAGCCACATGCTTTCTGCAAATGAGCTTTCGCACAAGCTATAAGGAAAGGCAAACATGAACACTTGATACGGCTATAACTATCAAGGTGTTTCTCTCCCCTACCCCCCCATTTCGACTCCCAATCTTTTCTACTGCTCTCAGTCAGTCAGAGAGAATGCTGAAGATAATAAGCAGAAACCTCCAAGGTGAGCGATTGGTTAGGCCCCCGGAAGAACCTGGGTGTTTTAAATTATAGCTTTCTGGTTAACAAAAACAAGCCCGCAAGTTTCCAGTCCTCATCAGTAGATTAGCAGACAAATCTTTCCCCAGCTGGTTTCAAAAACTGACTTTTAAAATGGTCTCAAATCAGTTGTAAACACGTTTTACATATTTAATGAACATCACTTCAGGGGTTTTGATGGGCAGCAAAGCAATTAATAAATACTTTTGAAAAATAACCAATAAATGAATAAAAGCTTCAGTCTTCCATTTGGCAAGCCTGACAGCACAGGGCACTCACATTTACTGTTCGAACATGTCCTGGTTCTAACACATTTATCGTCACACTTTTTTTTTTTTTACAAAACATTCTAACAGCAGTTGCTAACTTAAGGTGGGGAGGGGGAAAAACTAAATTACAAGCTTGCTCACCCCTCCTCCAGTTACTTCAAAAAGCCACCTATGTCAAGATTTTGGTAATTTACAAATTTAAGCAACTCGTTAATTAGTTAAAAAGCAGATGGCGAATCAGGCTTTTTAAACAGAAAACTAAAAAAACCACACTTGAGTTTCCATACAATTTAAGAGCCGACTTGGGGGCAATGAAATCTACTTACTTCTTTGCTACGGCCGCATCTGCTCGGTGCCAAAGATTTCCAAGCCATACGTGGCTTAATAAATCCCGGCCGTTCAGTGCCTAGCGTGGCTGCCTCGGGAAACCGCGGCGACTTGCCTGTTAAACACTCTGCAGATAAAATGCCTCGCTTACGACCCAACTCGGATTCCCCCACTGGGGTGGCAAAGCTCCTGTCGAGCCATGCCCTCCGCCTTGAAGCTTGGTAGAGTTACTCTTTTGGACTACAGTTCCCAGAAACCCTCATTGTCCGTACTGGCTGGAGGTCTCTGGGATGCTCCATCTTGTGCACTAGCCTTTCCAACCTCAGGCCAGCCCCTTCCCGTTGATGCAGCCCAGCGGGTGCAGAAACAAAGGGTGCCCATACTTTTACAGCACTGACTGCCCACAAGAAGGGGTGAAGCTAAGTCGCTTATGTGACTCTAACAGAGGGATCTGCAAAGGAAGAGACAGAGATTGATCTCTGGAGAGCCATTCAACGTCTCCGACAGCCAAACCTCCACATCCCGAGATACTCTATCTGAATACCAGTTGCTAGGAAGGGAGCTACTATGGGGAACGAATGGTCTTTTGCCTCCATGCTCTCTTCCTTGCTGCTTCCCTGGAGGGAGGGAGTTTAACACTTACTTGGGCAAACACAAGGCTGTGCTTGTAAAAGTTGCTTTTTTCTGGCCTACAGCTCAGAGATTTCCCCCATCCAGCATTGCTGCAGGTGATTGTCAACTGCCATGGAAATCCTGGGAGGGTTTGGAGTCTGGAATTGCCAGCATGTTGGTGACACTTGACTATTCTCCAGAAGAAGGTAGGGAAACTACAGGGTGGATAAGGACCAATACACTGGAGTTGAATCGATCCATGACGGTGGCAGCTGCTGAGTAGCCTGCCCTGGATCGGTGCATTTGGCTCCTGCATCAGCCGCTTCACCTTCAGGGGCCACTCTTGGGAATCTGGATTCTCAAGTAACCACTGCAATGCCCTTTCCATGTTCAGCTGGTGCTGTAGTGCTGAACTGACCCCTTGAGGACTGGGAATGCTTCCCAGCCCTCCACGTGTGGCTAATCTCCCAGCTTGACTGCTACTATAGGCTCCACCTAGGGCAGCCTCACCCATCAAGATCTCTGGTTGGTTCAAAAGACATTGAACAGATTTTTAAGTGGGGTCCCAACAACATTACTCCAGAAGCATCTCTACTTAGTGGGCCTGCTTCTTCCAGGACCATTCCCAGCATCGGTGCTGAGTGTGAAAGCCTCAACAAAGCCTATAAGCCGATTTCCTGATGGAACTCCATCCTGCCTCTTGCATTAAGGTCTGCGTACACCCCATAAAAAGTTCATTTGCCATAAAGTTAAGACATATGCCACGGAAAGATATATGGAAATATTTGTTACACACAGACCCACAAGGCATGTTGGCAGGTTACATGGAAAGGGATGTTCCATCAGATACTCAGAATTTATTTTATTTATTTTATTTATATATATGGAAATATTTGTTACACACAGACCCGCAAGGCATGTTGGCAGGATACATGGAAAGGGATGTTCCATCAGGTACTCAGAATGCCATACTAAGGCATTTTTCATAACCACTGCGCCACGAGGCTCTTTGTCATACTAAGGCATTTTTTGGGAAGAGGAACACTGGAATTTTAATTTTTGATCAGTTTAAGGCAACTTCCAATTCTGACCTTGTCCTGTCTTATAAACACAATCTGATATTCTGCAATTTGTTCCAAAATTGCACACAGTGGGTTTTGCATTCACATACCTACATACAGTCCTATAGCGTAAGAAGAAATATCCTATATAAAGATCACACAGCATATGAAATATGCACCGGCGGGTGTGTGTGTGTGTGTGTGTCAGGAAAATGCCCCTTGAATAGCCATCTGTTTTCATTGAAATCTCTGTCCAAGAAGCCAAATTTGCCACACATGGAAAGGGGGGGGTGGAGAGGGAAGGGAAGGGAAGGGGGGGACGCACATTGGTAGCAAAACGGGAAGCTTAGCTCCAGAGAGGAATCTTACTATAAAGCCACTAATTGCAAAAAAATATTAGCATAAACTATGACACAAATTTAGCTCAATTATCGTTGACTCCCTTGCTGGAGTTATAATTAAAATCCAGAGAGCTCTCGGTAGAAGTCTGGGGAGGAAAATAAGAAAACTTCCTAAAAATAAAAAATTCCAAAGCTACACATCCCCTCCAAGAGGCACATATCCATCTTTCAGACTCAGTGATAAAGGGGCAGGGGAGACCAGATCTTGAGCCCTGAGTTCAAATGGTGGCCTTAAGATCCTTGGGCAAATCGCTGTTTCTCAATTTCTCAGTTTCAATGGCTTAGAGAAGCTCCTTTCCTGAACTCTTGGCATCCTAAGGATTCTCTGAGTTGTGTTGTATATATTTGTTGTTGTTGTTGTTGTTGTTGTTGTGTGA